GATCGAGTAATCGGTTATGCTTCAAGAACATTGACAAAAACTGAAAAGAATTACGCGCAAATAGAGAAAGAGCTATTAGCCATTGTTTTTGGATGTTTTAGATTCGACCAAATTATTGCGGGTAGTCGGAAGGCGATAATCAAAACAGATCACAAGCCGTTNATTAACATTTTCAAGAAAGCTCTTCTAAAAGCACCAAAAAGACTTCAACTCATGCTGATGGCTCTTCAAAGATACAACTTAGAAGTCACATTCGTGAAAGGTAAAGAAAATGTCGTAGCAGACACACTATCCAGAGCAACGCCCAGACGAACTTACGTCGAAGAAGAAAAAATACAGGAAAAAAACGTATTTACTATAACGAAAGATAGCAGACTCAGCTATATAATTCAAAAAATAAGTATCACAAAATCTCTACAGATAACACCGGAACGGATAGAACATATAAAGAAGGAAACAGAAGCGGATGTTACTCTCCAGCAATTGATAACTTATATTGTCAGAGGATGGCCCAAGTACATACAGGATGTAGAAGACAATTGTAAGGTGTTTTTTCAATATAAAGATGAATTATCGACTCAGGGAGGTCTAGTATTTAGAAGTGATAGGATTGTAATTCCTACACAACTCAGGAAGACAATGCTACATCGAGTGCATGTGGCGCATACAGGAATTGAAACTACATTGAAGCTTGCAAGAGACACAATTTTCTGGCCTGGTATGTCTAGCCAGATTCAACAAATGATACAAACCTGTGAAACTTGTATGAAATTTAAAAATTCACAACAAAATCCACCCATGCAATCACATGAAATTCCGTTGTATCCGTTTCAGTTTGTATCTATGGATGTATTTTTTGCCAGATTTGGAGGAAGGAAGTGCAAGTTTTTAGTCACAGTTGACCACTACTCGGATTATTTTGAGTTAGACATACTACCAGATATGTCAGCAGAATCAGTAGTTGAAGTATGTAAACGAAATTTCAGTCGACACGGNGTTCCCCTCCGAATATGCAGTGACAACGGTACCAATTTTGAAAACAAACTTATGAAGAAACTTAGTTCGAAGTGGGGATTTGACCTCACAACGTCCGCCCCAAACCACCAACAGGCCAATGGCAAAGCGGAGGCTGCAGTTAAAATTGCAAAGAAGATGATACGGAAGTCTGAAGACAACGGTGAAGATCTTTGGTTTATGTTACTTCACTGGAGAAACACTCCAAATAAAGTATCGTCTAGTCCATCCCAAAGAATTTTTTCACGCCGAACCAGAACAGGAATTCCAGCANCATTAACAACGTTATTACCCAAAGTTATACAACAGGTACCTGAAACAATAGAGCATAATCGTAGAAGAAGTAAGTTTTATTATGATTTCAAGACAAAAGAATTACCAAACCTTGTAATCGGACAACCAGTTGCTGTACAATTACAACTAAATCGTGATAACTTGTGGGATAAAGGAATTGTTGAACATAAGTTTAGCGACCGGGACTATCTCATCAATGTCGATGGTGCTAGATATAGGCGAAGTCTAGTACATATACAACCCTACAGCGGTCCCATGGTTCAAGAGGAAAATAATTCGGGTAAACGTCATTTGGATATCGATATACAGACACAACAAGAGAANAGTAAACCCATAAAACCCACCAATAATAGTAATACCGTACACGAGGAGTTATTACACGATCCTCGACAATATACAGCCGCGATAGACGAAACACCAGCTATAAGGAACGCTGACGTTTCCACTCAAAAAGACTCTGTCAGGGATATGAGACCAAAGAGGGAAAAGAAGATTCCTAATAGGTTTAAGGACTTTGTAATGTTTTAATTTAAATATGTATTTTAGGTAAAGAAAAAAGGGAGGATGTTATACTATGTCGTTTGTGTTCAAATGGCTGGCGCCTGTGATTGTAGAAGGCATTAGGTGGCGACACCTTTAGTTTTCATGTAATAAGATATAGATACTTTGGTTTTTATCAGTTCTTTTTCCTATTCTTTATGTTAAACATATCAACAGATGTACTATTTCAATAAACATTTATCAACATATATTTGTCGTCCCTGCCAAATATAACACATGTATTAGTAACAAATAATATGCAAAAGTGGCAAAAATACATGAAAAAAATGCTGAGGTTAGCTCACTAGATAAAAGTTTAGTACAACTCATACTCGCGCTAAATGCAAGCGCTGCAGTACGGGGCATGTATCTCACACTGTAAAATTGGTAATTATGCAGAATAGGAGAGCCACCTCCGATTTCAATAATTTTTACATATGTTGTCAAGGTCATTGTCCCGAGTAATAATATGAAGGTTTTAGGCCGCGGTTGTTGTTTGTTTAGAAGTTATGAAAGGAAGAAATTTCATGAATTAATTCTTATTTTTCGGTTCCACGTACATTTCGTTCGTATTTCAAGCGTGTAGGCAGGGGGGCTGTGCTCCCCCTGCACCCTCCCTTAAAAACCTAACCTAACCCTAACCTAAACTCTTCTTTCTGCATTCCCTCTCGCAAAATTTCCACAATGATTAGGACATCCTTTTTCATCCAATCAAGTCGTTATTTTCCACAAAATAACGACTTGATTTTCGAGGAGGGAGCAGGAGGAAGGGAGAAGCCACTCACCCTGCGGGGGGGCGCAGCCCCCCTGCCTACACGCTTGAAACACGAACAAAATGTACGTGAGATAAAAAATAATGTCTGTTACAGACATTATTTCAAAACAAGCGTCCAATCGTTCATCAAAATCGAACGTTTTCTTAAATGCAAATTCGGCCAAATAATGATCAAAAAGATATTCTTCACGAACATAGAGGCATTTTCTATGAAACGACCTTTCAAGATACAACTACAAAAGCGTATAAACAAACATGTGCCCAAACACACGCAGAACACATATTCATATATAGGATGTCCAACAATTACATATTGTTCAGTAGACTTCTTTCCTCTGTAACTTCTGAACAAACAACGACCGCGGCTTAAAACCTTCATATTACTACTCAGGACAATGACCTTGACAACATATATAAAAATTATTGAAATCGGAGGTGGCTCCCCTATTCTGCATAATTACCTTAAAATTGACAAATATGCCAAACTGGTAAAATATATAAGACTGATAGTTAAATAAAAAATACAAGAGCCACGTAGTTGTAATTTTCTATCCAGCAAACAATTTCTGTTGTTGACAATTTCGGTGCAGACCTTGATAACAGAAACTGTTTGCAGAAATGTTACAATACGGAAACACTGCCAAAATTGTTAGCACACAGAAAGAAAAAACGCAACAACTCTGTTGATAAATACATGAGAGTATTGCAGCCAAAACGATTCCATATATGTCAGTGAAAGTAACAACAAATAGATTGTCGATTGCAAGCAGATCTGCTTTTAGAAATACTGTGACCAAACAGTCCGTAAAATTGTACCAGAAATCTGTTTACAATAAAAGTCGGGTCGATCTGTTAAACGCGTTGACGACAGATTGCCATCAAACGCCAAGCAGGTCTGTTCGTGTATACGTGCGGACTGTTTGCAATTTGGCGCCAACAGACAATGACCAAACCTATTCCGGATTTTAGCTTCACTTTGGCGATAATTTGGCTTCGCTTTGCTTGTGGTAGACTCTGTTATCATTTTGGTCGCATTTTGACATTTTACATGTTGACAGACATGGTTAACAAACCATATTCTACTGAGGACACAGATAGATATGGTTTTGTAACCAAAATGTTTGCTGGGTATACTTCATCCTTTATGACCCTTCTACTCTTATATGTCGCAAAATAACTACTAAACGTGTTCTAAACTTTGTAGTAATAAAAACTTGATAATAAAACGGCCAATGTGAGCCAAGGGACACAGTAAGTAATGTGTGTGTATATTTTGAAAAAACTATTTATTGACGTTTCGATCCTTGGTTGGGATTCTCTTCAGAAATAACTGTAATAATATTATTTAACATACAAAATATACTTAAAATAAAGGATCGTATACAATAAGAAAATCCAAAAATTACTCACAAACAATAAATTAACAAATTCGCATGACACGTACAAATTGTGTTGCGCACATGGTAGACACAAATATGAAATCCACCCGTGTTGATACTCTCAGCGTTGTTACGAGAATGAATCAAAAGTCGAAAATACAAATAGAAAGATAAATAGAAAAGATAGAGAGAGACCAGAGACACCTATAGTTATCGCAACCAAGAATTTGAATTTAAAGCTTCTCAAACTCTTCAACTAAAGGTAGATATGAATTATCTAACAATTCAGTGTCGCTTTGTAAGTTGATGCCGGCAGTTTGTTTCTTAATATAGAGCATCTCAGAAACAAGACGCTTTCTATATGAGTGCTCCTCATCTAATATTCGGACGTTATTCCAATCAAAATCATGATTATAATCTATTCTATGGTCGGTAATAACCGAAGGTTGCGTTGCATTGCGACGAATGTGGCTTCTATGTTCATTAATGCGTGTCATGAGAAGTCTCTTCGTTTGTCCCACATATGAAGACGGGCAATTTTTATATTTTATGTGATAAACAATATTAGATCTGGCTACAGAAGGCAAAGGATCTTTGTGAACATGAATAAATCTAGATAGTTTGTTTCCACTGACAAAAGCAAGTCTCCTATCTATTCTAGATTTAACAAAATTGGCCACATCATTCGTAAATGATCGCAGATACGGGACAACAAAAAATTTTTTATTATTCTGACTATCCTCCTCGAGAACACGCCTCAGCCGACCCTCATTCCCCACAGTACCATTAAATAAGTCTTTAAGACGTTTACGAATCACATCGAAGATTAATTGTAACGGATAATTGTTATTAAGAAGGATATTTACAATGAGCTGGAAATTTTTTTCATGGAACCTAGGATGTGAAAGGAAAAACGCTCTATCGATCAAACCAATGATCGTTCCAATTTTCTGGCAACCAGGATGGTACGAATAGAAATCTAAGTAACGGCCAGAAAATGAAGGCTTATGATACCAATCGGTGATCAGACAATTGTCAACGATGGTCAAAGTTACGTCAAGAAAATTTAAAGAATTATTTTCACCAATCTCAACTAAGAATTGGAGTCTTGGATGATAAAAATTAAAACAGTCAAGTATCTCTTTATGATACGACTTAGGTGCAGCCAAGGCAATGTCATCAACATATCTTATATAAAAAGAGGGGATAAAAGAAAGCTTGCCGAGTGCGTAGTTCTCAAGGTCCTGCAGAACAATATCGGCGATAACTGGAGAAAGAGGGGAACCCATTGGCGTTCCAAACTGCTTATAAAATCTATTATTAAAAGTAAAATAAGTTGAATTCAAAACTAAGCGAACCGCCATAATGAATTCATTGCGAGGTAATGTTGTTTCCCTCTCCAGATAATGCCACCTGTTCAGAAGACTATCGACCGCCAAATCCAAAGGTACATTTGTAAATAAAGAGATCGCATCCAAAGAAATAAGTTCAAAATAATCGTCAATGTAAATGTCCGAAATCTTTTTTACCAAAAAGAAACTGTTGGAAACATGACTCTTAGCAAAAGGTAGACTCTTGTAAATTATTTTATGTAGAAAGGATGCTAACCTTTGTAGTAATAAATTTATATATCCGTAAAATATGATTGCGTTGCTTATCACGTTGACGAATTGACTAAACTGACGATAGTTTTGTTAATAGTAATAAACAGATACACAAATCACAACACAATACTAATACAACAAAGACACGTAAAGTGGTAGTACGCAAATTATCTTTCTTATATTTTTTCTTATCAATGTGACATGAAACTAGGTTTAAATCTCGGAGTTACCCTATATCTCAATTTTATTTTGCCATATATTGTTGAGGAATAATAAATCTCCTTCTTTTTCTATAAAAAATTATATTATACTACAAATATATAATAATTATGTAAACTCTTTCACTTATGCTTCTATAATTTGTATCCGGGAAGAAAGAGATTAGATCTAACTGAAATTTAACAAGATAAAAAAATGGAAAATTAGATCTAATTAGATCCAAAGTAAATCTAAATAGATATAAAATAGATCTAAATATTAGGTGCGCAACTAAGTTCTCGCAGTTTTTTGTTTTTTGAAAATGCAACTTTATTGTGAAAAAATGGTTACAAATGAATCATTCAAAGTATTGCCCATCGGTAGCTACAACTTTTTCCCATCTTTCTGGCAGAGCTCGAATACCGTTACAGTAAAAATGTTCGTCTTTTGAGGCTATCCACGAATCAAGCCATTTTTTGATGTCTTTATATGAGCGGAACTGCTGATCAG